CCCAGATAGATATCAACAACTTCGAGTGGCGAGCCTCCCAACAATACAATATTCAATTAAAGCTTATTTAAATTTATCCATTACACCTTCGGAATTTGTATTTACCCAGAGTTTAATTAGTTCAAGATATTATTTTTCACTAAAATATGCCTCATATTTTTCTATTGGATTAGAGTATTTTTTCTTGCTCTATCTCTGCGGTCAATACGTAAAAAAACGGAATAAAATCAAGTAAGACACGGTTAGATGGCTACAACAGTGAGGTCAATACTCGGTTAGCGGATTTAAACCCGAAAACGTTTTTGTCTTTAATCTAGATAAAGATGCAAAGTAATCTTTAGTAAATATTATGCGCAATATTTTGCGTAAATTATATGTGGTGTATTATAGTATTTAATGTTTTGTATTCACGCGAATAATATGCAGCGCTAAATAACTGTTTTTGTCTTTAATCTAGATAAAGATGCAAAGTTATGTTTAGTAAATATTACGCGCAATTTAATGCATTAATAATATTTTTTAAATTACGATATTTTGTTTAATATCTTGTATTCACGCGAATAATATGCAGTGTTAAATAAAAATGATGGATTTAATTTGTTTATCGCGTTTAATTTGTTTTGAAATTTCCATCGCTTCAAACTTTGCAGAATTTATATTATAAAATCATAGGCGAACGCCATTAAGTCGTTAATGGATAAGATTGATTATAAACTAAGGTATATCAAGTTAAGTCTGGTGCCTTAGTGGCCTGAGTTCTTTCTTTTTTAACCGACCTCAAAAAAGAAGGAGGTTTCTCAATTCGACTGTATATATATTTTTTTTTTTTGTGTGTTCGCGGATTACTTCGTCATTTATGAAACGATTTTGATGTTTATTTTTTTGTTGGAAATTTATCCCATGTTTGACGATATCGGTGATGTAATGTTCAGAACGGCTCTTGACCATCTTAAGAATGGCAAAGCATTGGGAGAGGACGGAATTACAGCAGAGCTTCTGAAAGCGGGTGGAGAACCGATACTTGTAGTCCTTCAGATGCTCTTTGATTCCGTCCTTCAGGGTGGTGCTCCAGCAGAGGCGTGGAGCAGAAGTGTGGTGGTGCTGTTCTTCAAGAAAGGCGATAACGCTCTCTTGAAGAACTATAGACCGATATCCCTTCTAAGCCGCGTCTATGTGCTGTTCTCAAGAGTCATCTTGAATCGTCTCGCTTCCAGACTCGATGACTTCCAGCCTCCCGAACAAGCCGGAGTCCGAAAAGGCTTCAGTACCCTAGACCACATACACACCTTGCGGCAGATTATACAGAAGACCGAAGAGTATAATCTGCCTTTGTGCCTAGCGTATGTGGACTATGAGAAAGCCTTCGATTCTGTCGAAATTTGGGCGTTACTCCAGGCTCTTCAGCGGTGCCAAATTGATTGTCGGTATATCGAAGTGCTGTGGTGTTTGTATAACAAGGCTACGATGTCCATCCAAATACAGTCCAGTAGTACAAAACCTATCCAACTGCAGACGGGTGTAAGGCAGGGTGATGTCATATCCCCGAAACTCTTCACCGCTGCGTTGGAAGATGTTTTCAAGTTTCTGGACTGGAAAGGACGAGGTATTAACATCAATGGCGAATACATCACCAACCTTCGATTAACCGACGATATAGTCATCATGGCAGAATCGCTGGAGGACCTGGGTGCTATGCTCAATGACCTCAACAGTGTCTCCCAACGGGTGGGCCTTAAGATGAATATGGACAAGACGAAGATCATGTCTAATGTCCATGTCACGCCTATATCGGTTGTTGTTGGGAGCACTGAGCTCAAAATTGTTGACGAGTACGTTTACCTAGGACAGTTAGTCCGGCTAGGTAAGTCCAACTTCGACACAGAGGTCAATCAGCGAATCCAACTCGGATGGGCAGCGTTCGGGAAACTTCGGCAAATCTTCTCGTCAAATATACCTCAATCTTTGAAGACTAAAGTCTTCAATCAATGTGTGTTGCCAGTGATGACCTGCGGAACCGAGACGTGGTCCTTCACCGCTGGCCGTATGAGGAAGCTCAAAGTCGTTCAGCGGGCTACGGAGCGGGCAATGCTCGGTATTTCTCTGCGTGAAAGAGTTCGTAACGAAGATATCCGCAGTAGAACCAAAGTAACCGACGTAGCTCAGAGGATTAGCAAGCTGAAGTGGCGATGGGCCGGCCATATAGCTCGTAGAACCGATAACCGATGGGGAAGAAAGGTTCTCGAGTGGCAGCCTCGTACTGGCCATCGCAGTGTAGGACGACCCCGCAGTAGATGGAGTGACGACCTGTGCAAATGTGCGGGAAGTCGATGAATGCAGGTGGATCAGGATCGTACTTCATGACAGTCTATGGGGGAGGCCTATGTTCAGCAGTGGACTCAAACAGGCTGAAATGATGATGATGATGATGATGAATGTTCAGTTGCTTAAACTCCAGAAAATATACTGCCTAATTCATAATAAGTTATCGGAGATTTAAATTGTTTATAGTTCTAATCTTTACACTTAAGATTGAACATTAAAATATGTAGAAAAAGTGCGAAAAGATTGTCGCCGCTGTGGGAATCGAACCCACGTCTTCGGCAACGCTGACGCTCTAGCCAATAGTAATCAGCCGTTTAGCTCAGTGGCTAGAGCGTCAGGCCGCGAATGCCGAAGACGTGGGTTCGATTCCCACAGCGGCGACAATCTTTTCGCACTTTTTCTACATATTTTAAAGTTATCGGAAGTTTAAAAGCTTGCTAAAATAGATTGTGAAAATACCGTTTATCGCACACTCCGATTACCGATAACTGGGTGGGTTTTCGAATCAGTTATATCAAAATAACATTTATACAATTTTCATATATTAGTATGTAGATAATAATTGCCATTAAAACAATTGTGATTAGTGTTTATTACATAAAAAAAATTAAATGCATATGCTCTGTGTGCAGTATATTCGTTGTGATTTATTTTTATTATGCTTTGTATTTAGAGGAGTATAGAGAATTATATACATTGGCGAATATACTTTTCTATAAAGTGAAAGTAGAAAATTGATGTAGTCTTTTACAGACTGCATCAACTGTCTCAACTTTTAAGTTGCGTTACGCCTTGTTGGGCATTCGTGATACTGTATAGCCAGTCGATCCGTCTATTTTAGTGATTAGACCAGTGCCGATTCTGACCTCGGACAACGGAAGTCCGCTACGGCAAATGTCGTTCCTCAATTACCGGATTCAAGGCTCCCTCTTCAAACACAAAGTAAAATAAAATTAACAAAAACAATAAAACAGTTGTTTTATGTTTAAAAGTTATGTTTTTGTTTCATCCGTTAAATCTCCGAAACTGAAATTGCTGACTTAGGCAGTAGTAAGTCTGGAACGATGTAACAAAAGTCGGATCGGATACGTTGTAGAAATGAAAAATGTACATGAATGCAGAAAGGTCTTAACGAACCGTTACGATCTGGGAACCTTCAAGGAGAGCATATTCTTTCCAGAAAGGCCAGCAGCGCATTTGCCAGCGATGATCAACATCTGAGAGATTGTAGAAAACATTTTAAAACAGTGCCCCAGTTACCTCACTCACCAGACGAACTCAAAAGTATAATACTGCCATTTCACTCTGGTCTTCTGTAAGCCCGTGGTCCCCAGATGAGTGAGCCTGCCTATTCGTGCTACAGTAAAAGTTGTTGCGTGGTCGAATCACAGAATATGAAATGTGGATGGAAGAAATGCAATGGATGGAAATTAATAATTTCTCCCTTCTTAAGCAAAGCTAATTTATTTTTATCAATAAGTTGATGTAAATGTAAATTTATGTTTAAGGATCCAATCTGTCGACAATATTGTGTCAGTTTGTTACCATTGTTGTGATGTTTCTTTCACTGTTTTTTTTTTACATATTTAATCTCGTCAATAGACGTCTTCTTAATAATACCTTTTTTATATTTAATTGACTATACGAAACAATTTTTATGGATTTAGCGCATTTATTTTAATCTGTCCCGTGACCATGAACGCAGAAAAGGGATCCAAACGTCGGGAACTACAAATAAACGTTATAAATCCATGAATATGTAGTTTAGTATCAATTACGGCAATATTCAATCCATAGATATATTTGACTACTGGAGATAGAATTTTGACGTGAGTCTTATAGAGCTAACTTCAAATACCTAACGGTAGTTACCAACTCTATCTGTAGATTAAATATTGAAACTGGCCGTTAGTAGTTATGTGAGGAATAATAAATCTTTATTTTACTAGAGCTTGAGGTGCTTTTAATATAATATTGTGATGTTTATATTTGATTTATCTAGCACGATTCTATGTAAAATTCGTGATAAGGTTAATGCGTCATTTAATAAATATCGATTATAACTATTATTCTGCGAATGTGTGATCTAGGAATGTTTGCTAAGCTCCGTATTTATTTACCTATCGCCTCGTATACTCGAATACTAGAACTGGGCCAGATGATGTAATTTTATTATAAGAAAATATAATCTGATCGTTGTTTATCGATTTATAGAGCAACAAATTGATAGATAAGTAGGAAGAAGTTCTGTTTCATATTTAAGTATATGGACAATTGTATTTAGATACAAGACCAATGATAATGTGTTTATTGCAGCGTCGCAATGCCTACTGGTAACGTACGCAGGCAAAACTTAGCAATTTTTTTAGCAGCATTTATTTTAGCAAATAAATAACACCCTTAAAATCATAGTAGCATTCGAGTATCGTAGTTTCGAATAAACGTTTCATCGAAAGTAGTTAAAATTGACATTTGATTTTACTCTTTTTGTAGCGTGTTACCGTCGGCTAGTCGCAGAAGTACCTTGCAGAGGAATCGCATAGAAATATTTATTATTTTGCGTTTTCCGTATAAATTGACAATGCATCCGAATCTCTATTGTGGTGCCTGATGAATTGAAACGAAACCGAGACAGGTTTTTTGTATAATTTATCATTTTTTCATGAAGGAACACTCACCTCTCCTCCACAGTCAAGTTGGCAAGCTCAGGCACCCAGCACCAATGCTGTTCGGGGACGATCGTCATGAATATTTGCGAGAAATACACGAAAGCGACGAAAAACGCGAATGGTATCATCAGCAGGAACAGTATCTTCTGGTACAGCCCAAACTCTCCTACGTACGGTAATAAATCGTCGAAATCCGTCGCCTTTTTTTCATCGTCCTCTTTCCTTTCATTATTATTTGTGTTGTCATTTAAATTCATGCTCCTTCCGCTGTTTATATTATCTGTGCTGTTCGTGTAAGCTTTGTTCACGAAACTCCCGCTTAGGTCGATGTTTGACAGGTTGTTGTCTATGCCCGCGTTTTGGCGGGAATCGTCCTCCTGCTCGCAACAAGGAGTTCGCTCTTGCGGCGCCATCTTGCTTTACGTTTGTTTCAATCGCACCCCGACGGTATAATTCTGTACATGCTCTATTTAACTCCGAGTGTTTTTGTCTGAAACAAAAGAAAATTATTAGTAATTAACTTTAATTTCCTGCGCTATTGATGTTAAGAGATTGTGACCTTCGTAACAGATCTACTTTGTATGCTGCAATACTTAAGTAAGTTTCATGAATCAAATGGATTTCAATGTATACAGTTAATCAACTGCCACTCTGAAGAATAAATATAAAAGTAAGGTGTTGTTAGCCTATAATATACATCATATGTGCCATTGCTAAGGTAAAGGCGTTACAAATGGTGTGGACTTGTGACATAAGATTAATGTATCATGCTTTCAATCGCGAGACCATACGACGCTTTATTGGTTGCGGAATCGGAATTCAATTTCGAGAGTTTGATAGACTCTACACTAGTGGAATGACGTACGGACATACTGTGCGCATTAACTGAGGGGAGTGTCACCTAAGGACAAGACTTATATACCGATCGTGATATAGGCGGCCGTCGACTGCGTTATTTGTGTACAGGGATCAAAAATACATCCTGGACGACCGGTGTACCATTGTTTTATCGGGGCTCCCATTGGGTTTAAACTGCCCACCCATTGCGAATTTAGCATCTGCAAGGAGACATATCTATGTCTCCTTCACCACCAATTATAACTTCAATAGTATTAGCATAGTGATTTGAACTCAACGCAGTAGTATACAGAACTGTCACGGCTCTATTGAATAGGTAAAATATAAATATTAGGAATATACATATTAGGAAAACTCGCATTGGGACCTAAATCTCTTTAATCATTTGCGAGGTAGTTAAATTTTAATCGCCTGACCGTTTCATCGGTGATTAATTAATGAACGTCCACTAATATTCCCAGAGCTAATGCGGACACTGAACGTTGTTAAATAAAACTAAGTTTACGAATATTATTTCGTATTTATTTTTTTATTATAACTCCCGTTGGTTCGTAAGTTAACCCTTCAAATCTAAACTCTAACGCCCGGTTTCTGAAACACTGATCATCGTAGATGGCAACTAATCAGCCGTCAAATGGCTTTTCAAATTTCATTTTAGTTGACAAAAGGACGATTAAACTCTCTGAATTGACCAGAATGATCTTCTAATGATCAGAACGATCAAACCAAAGAATTGAAAACCATTTGACAGCTGATTAGTTGACATCTACGATGATCAGTGTTTCAGAAACCGGCCTTAAGTGAACTAAAGCCAAAATGAAACTCGAAAATATCCGTATAATTATTTCTCATCGTCCACTAATAGGTATTATAAAATATATTATGCTACCGATAATTGATTGATTTAATAACGACATGACAGCAAAGAAGTAGGCTAGCAGCGAACACCTGTCGCAATAATTAGTCGGAGCTAGTTTTTGTCCGTAACTTTGTCTGTGTTAAGGACATTACATGTTTAAGTGGAACTTCTATGTGTCACAAATAAGTGTAGAAAAACAAGTATTCAAATAAAACTAACTAATCCGCTGAAATTATAGACATGTTTTTACAACTGGGCCTAAGCTAAGCAAATCGTGTGAAAAAAGTATCAGCCCATACACACCGCACTACTGGCCACAGTCCACCACGCGGCCCCGCTGCCGATTGGCAGACTTTATATATCTTCGAAATATTTCATTTCGCTATTTTTTCGAAAATCCCCGGGATTCCTAAAGATAGGTTTAAAGAATTTATTCTCATAAAAAACACAAAGTTTTACATAAAATGAGATACGTTACAAGATACGACATATTGTTCATTTTAACCTCTTTAGCATTGTGGAAGACAAAAGCAGTAATATTACTTTGGGGGTAGATGAAAGTATAAAATATCAATAAGCAAGTTGCCTTAAGGGTGAAGTCACATTAAATTAGTACAATATAATTTTATAGATGTCTTCCTTGCAAAAGCAGTGATAGCTCAATGTCACGGACACGTTTGATAATGAACACTTTTGTCCCAGAATGTCCCAGACCATAGAAAAACACTTTGCTCGTTTTAACGTTTAGAATCCAACTTACACCCCAATGTTAGTTTTAAGCGATAAATTTTTTTCCATGCAAAAGTTAGCGTATATTCATTGTTATTCAATATACATAAAAAAATATAGAAACACGCAAAATATATTAAGATTTTATAATAATATTTGCGGAAGGCAACTTATTTATAATGCTTCTGAATTGAAAATGAAAATTCTAATTATGTTAATTTCCTAATTAAGTTTTTGTTGGACAAACAATTATTTTATAATTTATTATTTTTTATGTTTAAACAATATCCGTTTGGCTGATACATAAATATTAATATTGTTTCTTAATTAAATTAAGCGTTAGTCACGATCACTAACTTCTAAACACTTACTAAAACCTACCTAAAAACCAAACCATCAGGATTCTCGAATCTCGCTCGATAAGGCTAACCATAAGTTGTTACGAGCCTTTAGTTCTGGTATGGTGTATGGAGACTTATCACCTGAGAAGTCTCCGGTCACCATACAACGGGCACTAATTTAATGGTTCGAAAAAAAATTATTATCATTAAACTTTAAAGGTTGTCAAATATTGTACTTTAAATGAAATAGCAAAAATAAGAATAAGAGAAACAAGATAAGTTGGTAGAACTGAAGTATTAAATCGTAACTTATTCAATGCACATAGTATGTACTTTACGAAATACCTCGACGATTTTGCCGATCATCGCTGACAATACATCGCTTAAAATTCAATACAATCCCCGCATTACCTTTGAAGGAGCGAGTAAACAATGCGTATCACTTTTATTCATCAAAAAACGTTTATTGGCAATACAATCTAGTCAGAGATTTGATAGTCTACCCGTCAACTAGTTGCCTGATCGAAGGAAATACACGCTAAATGGCAGCGCTATTTTGTAGGTATTTTATTGTCTATTGTCGCCTAGTGTAGAACAGTTTTGTACATGCCAATGCATGTTCAAATATAACAAAATTCACAGTATCAGTATTATTGAGCAGTGTCCGGGCGCTCGCCTTTAATTCCATTTACTCGAGCAAGCTGAGTTTGGTCCCCGGGGCCGGCACCAATGAAATTGCAATTTTAAGTGCTGACATATCACGTGCTCCGCGGCGAAGGATAAAATAACGAAAAAAATTTTCAATGACATGTTAAGTCCGTCGATCCGCAGTGGGGCCGTGTGGTGGACTATGCCCTAATACCCACTGTATAGAGGAGACCTTTGCTTTACGTGTCTTACTTTTGCTTGTTAAATATAAGTAATTGGGAGCATTTAGGTTAAACTTAAAGGCGTTTGTCTACGTTCATCTAGCTGTAATATTAATTGTAATTTAACTTATGTTGAAGTGTTTCTGGATTATATGAACTTATTATTTTACTGTTAGATTTAGATTTTGCTAATATTTTTTTTAATATTCTTAACAAACATGTGATTATTCTGATAATTAGTGGTTAAAACTAACATACGCTTATGGTTCCCGAAAAAAAAAAAACGTTGAGTCAATAATTATCCGCCGTCTTGAGATTTCTTATACAGCAATCAGAACTTTAACAACTCTAAAGGTCGCTAGTAAATTAGCGCGAAGCTTAAACAGACATTCTGACTTATAGACTTTGCAAGAATTATGGACCAATCTGACATTATTCATAGTAAAGGAGCTAGACAATATACAAAACATTAAAATGTCAGAGCTGGTTGGGAAACTGAACTGTTTCTTGTACTGACATAGACTTTGGTTTTTTCGAGAATCCAATTTATACAGATGACAATTTATAGTTAGGAATCGTTTATATAGTTTTTTCTAGGGTTCTGTCACCAAAGGGCTAAACGGGTCCCTATTACTAAGACTCCGCTGTCTGTTCGTCTGTCACCAGGCTGTATCTCAAGAACTGTGTCAGTTCAGCCATAGTCAGTTGAAATTTTCACAGATGATGTATTTCTGTTGCTAAAACAACTAAAAAAACAAATACTAAAAAACAGGATAAAAAAATGGTTAATTGGGGCTCCCAATTAACCAATACAACAGACAAGAATTTTTTGCCGTTTATTTAGATAATGGTACCGAACCCTTCGTGTGCGAGTCCGAACCGCACTTGGTCCATTTTTTTTTGTTGTGATAGTCTAAAAACACACATCTTCATTTCGAAGTACATTAAGGTCTTTATGAACAGAATGTGATGTGAAGGGTACAACGCTACTTATGTAATAATAATGAAATGAATGAGCTCTTCGCGGAAGAGGATCACCTCTTTGAATACATGTATATAACGTTTGCTTAACAAAGACTTACACACACATGCTAACAAATATGGACAAAAGTTACGGAGCTTATTTAGTCTCAAGACGAAATAGGTAGTGCCCCTTTTATCATTAACAATTTTAAATAAACTTAAATATTGTATTAACAAAAACTTTTTTTTTTTCAAATCAGATCAATATGAAAAGGAAACGGACGTTTTAGTTTGTAATAAAACGATTTCATTTATATCGCAAAAATCTGGTAATGAAATTGAAAACTCATCATCATCATCATCATCATTTCAGTCTGATTGAGTCCACTGCTGAACATATGCCTCCCCCAAAGACTGCCACGAAGTACGAATCTGAGCCACCTGCATCCACCGGCTGCCCGCGCATTTGCACAGGTCGTCACTCCATCTAGCGTGGGTTCGTCCTACACTGATGGCCAGTACGTGGCTGCTACCTAAGAACAACCAACTGAAAACTCATTATTGCACTAGTTGTAATTCCATTCAATTTCTTCCATTTTATTCTAGTCTATGATGTTTGGTTTATTTAAGGTTCATCAAATCTCGTCTAGTTAAACCGTCACATATGCTGCATATATTCGAAATAATAAAAGAAAAACTATTTCGAAGGTATGTGAAGTCCACCAATTCGCAGTAGGGCCACATGGTGGACTATTGTACCCTCTGTATAGAGGAGACCTTTGCCCAGCAATGGG